GACACGCTCTCGCGATCCAAGGCGCTGTCCAGCACCAGCGAATAGTAGTTCTTGAAGGTGGACACCAGCTTGAAGGGGACATGGGGTGTTAGTGAGCAGGTCACTTGCCCGTTGGCACCGATGTCGAGATCTGACACGCTAATTAGGGCAATAACAGTACCTGATTGAGCGTCCTCTCGGATAGGCAAGGATAAGGAAGTCAATGCAATCTGAGGGACGTTATCATTTTTATCCAAAACCTTCAAAAAAACAGTGCAATGTCCAGCCATGGGTGGGTGGCCTTTGTCCGTCGCGTCAACACGAATTTTGTATAAATTTAATTTTTCAAAATCTAAATTCCCTTTAGTTACTATTTCTCCAGTATTTGGATCTATCCTAAACTGGTCTCTAACCGTGGTTGGAACAAGACTATTGAAAGAGTATGAAATTTCCCCATTCACTCCTTCATCCCGATCAGAAGCATTCAGTCTGATGACTGTTGTTCCGTTGCCAGAGTTTTCGAAGATCCTTACTTCATATTCAGTCTGTTCGAAAGTGGGAGCATTGTCATTCACGTCCAGCACAGTGACCAGCAGCTGAACAGAGCCAGTGAGCTCAGGTTTGCCTTCGTCAGTGGCTGTCAGCAGTAAGTTATGTTCGGGAGCTTCCTCTCTGTCCAAGGATTTCCTTAACACGAGCCCAATTTGTGTACTGTCATCACTGTTGGTTTTCACATCTAAGGCGAAGTATTCGCTGGAGCTGAGTTTATAGGTTAAGTGGGAATTCGAGCCAACATCCTCATCTGACGCGCCCTCTAGTGGAAACAGAGAATCTGGCAGTCTTGATTCGTAAATCAGCACTCTTTGTTCCTTTAAACGAAACACTGGCGCGTTGTCGTTAATGTCCTTCACCTCCACCTCCACATGGAAAACCTGCAGCGGCCTGTCCACGATCACCTCCAGGTGGATGCTACACTCCGCGCTCCGCCCGCACAGCTCCTCCCGGTCGATCCGAGAATTCACAAACAAAAGGCCATTCTGTAGATTTACCTCCAGAAGGTCCCCGTGGCCTTCGGACACCACCCGGAACAGGCGTGGCACCAGCTCTGCCAGCTCCAGCCCCAAATCCTGGGCGATGCGGCCCACGAAGGTACCGTGTTTGGCCTCCTCCAGGACCGAGTAATGAACCTGGCCGCTGCCCTCCTCCCACGCTGCAAGGAGCAGAAGCGAGAGCAGCAGATACTGAGATCCCAGTCGGCTTTCCAGAGTAATAATCATGTCAAATACTTGTTTTATTTTCATCAGAAGATCTTGTCTCGCAACTAGGATAAAATTTGTGCGATCCCGAGTCTGTTAATCCAATTCTTCTGCACCTGCCATCACTGAGCACTCATGGAACTAATCGGTAATAGGAGGAATGGATTTTGCATACTGTAATAACTAGATTGACTTCATGGTAGACAGCGACATCATGCGGCTACAAAGGGTAAGAAATGAATTCACATAACCGCGATAAGCTGTAGTTCTTTAAGTTAAAAAAAAATTTTTTTTAAAGATTTTTATTTGTTTATTTGGCACACAGAAAGAGAGAACACTCAGGGAGATTGGGGAGGGAGAAACAAGCTTGCTAAGCAGGGAGCCCAACTCGGGGCTCGATTCCAGGACCCTGGGGTCCACCTAAGGCAGATGCTTTAGGACTGAGCCACCCAGGTACCAACACCCCCCCCCGCCCAAATTCTTATTTTGCCTTAATTTAATAGTAAATCTCCTTATGTTCATAACTTGCAGAGCCAGTTTCACCTTGTCTGACTTCTTCTATTAATTTAGAGTAGGGTGAGGAATTAGAAAATTCTTAGCAAAACAACTTCTCTCCTAATAATTTGATTACTGTTATCAACCAGTTCAGAAAACTTGTGATCTGAAGTAGGTCTGGGAATTAGAAGTGCAAACTATACTACACTCTTGTGTAGAGAAGAAACATGTGTATATATTTCTGTTCTAGGACATGTTATTATATTTTGCTCTGAGAAAAGAATGGAATGTAATTTTAAATTAACAAATTTTATCCACACTTTTAAAACCTTATAGATTGTTTAAGTCCATTTTTTCTTTGTCTGATGTATATCAAACACTCCTAAGGCTTTTTCTTTTACTTAATAATGGAAGATGAAATTTTTAATGCATATTCTTTACAGCATTTCCAAATTTTCCCACACTTTATACTGGGCCTTCCTCTCAAAACATTCTCCTTCACATACTTCATCACTGCAAATTTTAGTGGAATATCTACCCATCATATTTTCATGCTCTGATTCTTCAGCTGCTCCTGAATGAGTTTATCCTTATCTCTCAATCTTAACTTTGTATAGGCTTTCCATTAAATGTCTCATCCACTCTCAATATTTCAAATAAGACCTTTACTGAAGGTATTCCCAAACGCACATCTTCCTCCCCCCACTTTCTATGGTTCTCTTTTTAAAAAAAAAAAGTTTTTTTTTTATTTTGAGAGAAAGAGACAGCCAAGTGAGAGTAAGAGAGCAAAAGAAAGAGAAAGAGAGAGACAAAGCACGTAGGAGCAAGCAGCAGGGAGGGGCAAAGGGAGAGGGAGAAGCAGGCTCCCCACTGAGCAGGGAGCCAGACTTGGGGCTGGATCCCAGGACCCTGGGATCATGACTGGAGCCAAAGGTAGACACATAACCCGACTGAGCCACGAGGGTACCCCCCCTTTCTAATGGTTCTAATTATCATTTTCACCTATGCATGCTGATGACTCTCAGAAAATAATTTGATTACAATTTGAAGATTATGTAGATATCATTACTAACCCACAAATTCAAACCTTTGAAAACCTCATTTTATTTTAATGGCATGAACATTCTGCACGTCACCTACATGAATTTTTTATTAGTCCTCCTCCCTTACCTGCCTTATTCAAAGTCTATCAACAGTCCATCCGTCTTTTCACATACCACTATATTTATCTTCAGGAATACAGCTATTATTGAATTGAACTAAAGGCAGGAATTTCATGACATTAGAGTCACCTCTACATGACCTGAGGTGCAATCAGATGCCAACATTTCCAATGTTATTTTAAACTACTCTCCAATATGAATTCTATTTTGCAGACATTATAGATCACTTCCTTGTCTTCTTCCTCAGCACAACCCTTGTTCAAGATGTTTCTAAAATTACCTCCATCTTCACCTGTAAAAATGTTATCCTGGTATCAAAATGAAGCACAAATGTCAATTTTACCATGAATTCATCTGTAACGTCATCAATTGGAGACAATCAAACTCTTCCTCAAAATGAGAAAATGATAGGCACAAAAAAACATTTTTCAAATGGACACATACCAACATCTATCCCCCCAAAATTCTGATATACCTGTAAAATCCTCACAGACCACTGTAATACAAAGTTCCTCCACCACTATAAGAGGCTTCATCTTAAACTAATTAACCTAGATCAGTGTATTACTCCCTATCACTGACTTTCTATTGCTGTCATTTTGGGNGGTAAACAAAGAGTTTATGTGCTAACCAATAATATCTCCCAAAATGAAATCTCCCTTTGCTTGCAGGAAGATAAGCCTTGACAGAAGTATATTAGCTTGCAGGGGTTTGTTTTAAGCCCAATGCAGGGTTGAACTCATGACCCTGAGATCAAGACCTGAGCTGAGATCAAGAGACTGACATTTAACCAGTTGAGCCACCCAGGTGCCCCTAGCTTGCAGTCTTATTGTTGAGAGTTTTCTTTTCTCCCCCCTTTTTAAAAAATTAACATATAATGTATTATTTGCTTCAGGGGTACAGGTCTGTGAATCACCAGACTTACACAATTCACAGCACTCACCATAGCACATACCTTCCCCAGAGTCCATCACCCAGCCACCCTATCCCTTCCCCATCATCCCCCAGCAACCCTCAGTTTGTTCCCTGAGATTAAGAGTCTCTTATGCTTTGTCTTCCTTCCGGTCCCATCTTGTTTCATTTTTTTCCCTCCCGACTCCCCACGACCCTCTGCCCTGCCTCTCAAATTGCTCATATTAGGGAGATCATATGATAATTGTCTCTCTCTGATTGACTCATTTCACTTGGCATAATACCCTCTAGTTCCAACCACATCATTGCAAATGGCAGAATTTCAGTGTTTTGATGGCTGCATAGTATTCCATTGTATATATATCACATCTGCTTTATCCATTCATCTGTTGAGGGACATCTAGGTTCTTCCCATCATTTGGCTATTGTGGACATTTCTGCTATAAACATTCGGGTGCACGTGACCCTTCAGATCACTATATTTGTATCCTTAAGGTAAATATCCAGTAGTGCAATTGCTGGGTCATAGGGGAGCTCTATTTTCACCTTTTTGAGGAATGTCCATACTGTTTTCCAGAGTGGCTGCACCAGCTTGCATTCTCACCAACAATGCAGGAGGGTTCCCACTTCTCCCCATCTTCGCTAACATATGTCGTTTCCTGACTGGTTAATTTTAGCCATTCTGACTGGTGTGAAGTGGTATCTCACTATGATTTTGATCTTTATTTCCCTGATGCCGAGTGACGGTGAGCACCTTTTCATGTGTCTGTTGGCCATTTGGATGTCTTCTTTGCAGGAAAGTCTGTTTATGTCTTCTGCCCATTTCTTAATTGGATTATTTGTTCTTTGGGTCTTGAGTTTGAGTTCTTTATAGATTTTGGATACTCTATATAGTGGTTAAGATTTTACATAAATTTTGCTCTATGTGAAGAGTGCCTTTGAATTTCAACTTTAAAATTACCTAGTTAGGGGTGCCGGTGGGCTCAGTCAATTAATCATCTGACTTCTGCTCAGGTCATGATCCTTGAGATTGAGCACCCTTGTGGGGCTCCCTGCTCAGCAGGGAGTCTGCTTCTCCCTCTCCCTCTGCCCCTCGCTCACCCCACTTGTGTCCCTTCTCTCTACCAAATAAATAATTAAAATATTTTAAAAACATAAAAATACAGGCGCCTATTTTTGGGTAGCTCAGTGGGTTAAGCCCCTGCCTTCAGCTCAGGTCATGATCTCAGGGTCCTGAGATCGAGCCCCGTTCAGGTTCTCTGCTCAGTGGGGAGCCTGCTTCGCCCTCTCTCTCTGGTTGCTGCTCTGCCTACTTGTGATCTCTCTCTGTCAAATAAATAAATAAAATCTTTAAAAAAATAAAAAATAAATAAAATTAGCTAATTAAACTTAACTATCAAATCTCTATTACAATTTCTAGCAATTTCTAGAAGAGTGATATATAATCCAGTATTGGGACTCTTGTAATAATCCTGTTTATTGGCTCCCAGTAGAAAATTATGCAATTTTACTGAAATCTTTCCTGTAAAATAAACATGGAAAAGGAAAATACTGGTCCTCTCATAAGAAACAGCTTATATTTTTGTTCACTTATTTACCCAAATACTTCATTCCAGTCAAGGAAGAAGCGTATGTAGAGAAAAACTTTGGTCAATTTATGGACAGCTTCCTCTTCCAGCAAAGAAATATTTTAGTTATAATATAAATCAAAGAGTTTATATTTTAAAAATAAATTAACTTAATTTTTTCAAAAGCTGACAAGTGTTAACTACAAATTTAGTGGTGAGAACTCCTTCTCAATGTACAGGACTTCCTCAAAGTAATACAGTACTAGAAATACTTAAATAGTATGATACATGTGTATTTATATAATTTATACATTATATAATTTATACATTATATAATTTATACAATTAAAAACATGTAGAGAATGCAAGAAATAGCCAAACTAATAAAAAAGAAATTAAATTTTTATCACATGAAATGTGGACCATTTATTACCCGCTAGACCCACATTGTTTTTTGAAGAAGTGTAGAAAAACAATTCTGTGTATTTGAGATAGAGACTTCTCTTGCCTATGGTAAAGTCAAATGTACAACTTTGTTATAAAGAATTGTGTTGGTAAACAACAGACTCAAGAGGGGCTTTTGTATCGTGGTACTTATTTTTTTTAATCTGACAACAAAAAGCAACAATAAATCCCAATAAAGAGCACAGGCATTAATTTCTCTTACATCAGCCAATGCAACATTTTTCTAGATATGCCTCCTGAGGCCAGGAAAACAAAAGTAAAATTAAACTATTGGGACTACATCAAAATAAAAACCTTCTGCATAGCAAAGGAAACTGTCAACAAAACTAAAGGACGACCAACTGAATGGGAGAAGATATTGGCAAATGACGTATCCAATAAAGGGTTAGTATCCAAAAATATAAAGAACTTAGACAACTCAGCACCTAAAAAACAAATAACCCAATTAAAACTGGGCAGA